TTGGCTGCCTCTTGCACCCAGCTGGTCTCTTCTCTCTGGGCTCCTTTTTTGTCATCCAACCTCTGTTTTTGTGTAACGCTGCCTTGCATAGATGGGATTTTAATCTGGCCCTCTAGAGTGATGCCATGGAAAAGCTTCAGTGGTTTTTGGAACTGCTCAGGAATGAGAAGTTTTCTTCTGGTCCCTCCCTCCTTCTTAAACTTGCTCCAGGATAAGATCACATCAGACAACTTAATCTTTTAAAGTTTGGGGAAGAATATTCAACTTTTTCTTTTAGCATTTGAACCTTCACCTACATTTAATCACCTTTGTTTAAACAATAATAATAAAAAACTAATTCCTGTTGTTTACTGTTAGTTTGGCCTGTAGATATTATTATCATTATTATTATTATATTGACCTACAACTTAAGCAACTCTTTGCATTTGTCCAAGAGCCCTGTTGGACTCTGGTTTTTGTATTGAAACCAGTACCTGGGTAATGGTGCTAATGCTGTAGGGCAGGATGGTGATGATGATTAACTGGAAACAGTGAATCATTGTCCACTGACTTCATGCTTACAGTGACTGCCATTCGTATACTTACCCCTGCAGTGTTTAGGCAAACCCAACACTTGTCAACTGACCAATGGTACATCTGCATTTACAGCTCCCCTGGGGGTGAAAAGGGCCAGTTAAGATTTAACAGAGAGAACACGCTTCCTCACTTCCTTCTCTGTACCCCTACTGTCATTTACAAGGTTTTAGCAATGTTCATCGCTTGTAATACCAGATCCATTAAATCTGCTCCAAGTGAATGCAAGCAGCATGCATGAGGAAGCTGACGGATTATGTTTCAGTAGAGGGGAAAATCCCCGGCAAGTCCATAAAGCAGTCTGTAAATTAAGGGGTAGGAAAGAGCAACTGGCCTTCTAGGTATGCAGCATCTCTGCAAGACGTGATGAAGGAAAATTAGAATGTTGCAAGGGCAGTTTGCAAGGTGAGTCACTGAAGGAGATTGTTATCCTACATCTGGACCAACAAGGGTCAGAGAAGTGTTCACAACCTTTTCTGTGTTGTTTTCGAGATACACGTAACAGGCAAGGTGTTAAACAGGGATGTCTTTGGTAGGATAGAGTCAATCAGGCTTCATTTCTTTGCCAGATTTCTTTGTAACCCAAATTTTGTGCCCATACTTTTTACCCACCAGAGCAGTTTTGAATCAAAACAGATAGGACCATTGCATATCTGTTTCCTTCTGTAATTTGATGAATAATGAAGTTATATTGAATAAATATGCTCATTTGTAATGATGTGTGCCTTTGTTGACACTAGACCCTCACAAGTAGATCTAATTTCATACCCAATCATTCACCGTCACCTAATTCGAAGTTGAGTATGAAGAGACGTGGTGGTGGGTTGGTGGTGGTACATAGAGCCCTGTGGCAAGCAGCTCATTTTATTACCCTCAAAGTTTGGGTACAAGGTGACTAAAATTCCAAAAGTGAAGTGGCAAAGAAACAAAGAACCCAGCACCCAAACCATCAGTAAGGAATCTCTCACTCAGCTTCAGGTGGATGTAACTTTGAGTAGCAGACTGTATGAATGGTACAAATGTTTACGTATGCTTTGTAACTCATGGTACTTTTCTACTCCATCGGTGGCTGTTTTCATTTTGTCTCTTAGCATAGATAGATGAGTTTCCCAGCTAACAAATGTGCTTAAATTTATTAATAAAAGTGAAGGTTCTTGGGTGTAATTTGCCCTATAGTCTTGCCTCTGGCTGTCGCACCATGATGCTCTGGGGATTGCAATTTTCTACACTTGTCTCTCCAGTAGGTCGCCTTGACAGTTATTTGATGACCTCATCTGCCTGCATAGCTCTGTCTATCATTATTCATAGCAGTAATATCTAGGGCACTTGATGTGTCTTTTTGTTAATATTTGTGAAGTTCGTTTCTACTGTCTACAACTTGCCCTTCCACAATGACAGCAAAAGGAGCAGAGGCCGGTCGCTCTGCAGGGCGATGGCGCTCACAGCATCAGTTAAGCCTATGGCAGGTGGGGAAGAATCTTAAGAGATTTATGAAGAATTTGTCCCACTTGAGTGGTATTAGTATGTTTTACTTTCAAGGATTACTCCTCTTGTGACGTGTTATGGCATGTTAGTGCAATGGTTTATGTCTTTCAACTACAATAGTTTGTTTTAGCATAAGAATCCTTCAGCATTTTATCATTTAAACCTGCACGCTTTAACTAAATCTCAACCCTCGTGCTTTAAGTGCCTTTTTGACAAAAAGACAAGAAGGGACTTGGTGAGTTTTTTTTATATATTGCTTTCTGAACACTTTACATTAATAAGCAGCATACACATACCATTTAGAAAAGCAGAAGCAGCATCAGAAGTTATTTTATGGGACTGAAATCTTGGCTTTGCTGTCTTGCAATTTTAGATGAGCTCATCAAACTTCGAGGTACCCAAATCCACCGCAGGTATAAGGTTGAAAAGTCTTGTAAAATATTCCGTTTTTCTTTTCCCGCTTTCTTTGCAACTGTGTGTCAGTGTACTGTAACAGGTCCTGGGCTTTTAAAGATGTTTGTCAAACAGTGTCCCAGGTGTCCTTAAGCTCCTTCCGCTCTCAGAAAGACAGGCATCCATATGGGACCGTAATGAGATTGTCTTCCTGGTTTAGCCACTTGAGGGGGTAACAGGTTAGTGGAGTGTGACCTTTTGGTCACCCATTTTCCACTTTCAGGGTCTGCAACTGTCAAGGACACAGGAATCTGTATGCATGCAGTGTCTCTTCAGTTTGCATCAGAGAATAGATCTGCAGGAGTTTTTATTTTTATTCACACAATGAAGTTGTCGGGGCGTGTCTGAAGAACCCTATAATTTTCTAATGACTCACTCTTGGGTGTTGATTTTGATACTTTTGAGTACAGTGTATGAAAAAAGAACTCCTTATTTATGTGTGGCTGCAACAAAGAGATGTTTTAATCATTTGAGTTGATTTTTGTGGAAAAATAGGTCAGTCAATATTGATGAGAATAAATCAAAAGGTAGATGAGTTTCAAATGTGTGGGCATTATTTTCTCAAACAGTTACCCAGAACTGTCAAAACTACGGTAATCTTCATTGCGTTTGTCTTATCAAACCATGTTTGTATGTAAAAGCTGCCCAGGTATATTTGTACACCACAATCCTGTCACACCTTTCCTATTGTGATAGTTTGTCGGGCAGTTCAACCATGATTCCATTACACAGTCTATAAAATCTTTTAGATCAAATGCAAATGAAACGGCACAACTCTAAATATTTGGATAATTTATTAGGCAGTTTTTTTATATATGTTTCTCATGCTCATTTTTGAATTGTGTAATTCACCTTATTCCTATTGTAGTTGGGGAAAATGATTTTAAAACTACAGCAAGGGGAGCTGTTCCTGAACACTAAACCAACAATGTACAACACATCATTTTAGACCATCTTCTTTTTGAGTTAAATTAGGTCCTCAGTTTTGGAATTGTTTGCTAAGAGCGATAAAGCAGTTGACCCAGCTTGGACTGTTTCACTTAAGAATGAAACTTTTACTTGAATTTTGTCAGATTGTTTTGAATAGTAGCCAGGACTCCCTTGAAAAAGAGGTTTTTAATCTCAATGGGTTTTTATCCTGGTAAAATCAAATAAAGGTTAAATAAAGCAGAACAGCAACTACTACTACTATTCCTACTATTACTACTATTACTATTACTACAACTATTACGACAACTATTACTACATCTATTACTGCAACAACAACAAATCTAGTACCCCAAGATGATAATTTAAATGTGAAATATTGCCTCTCTTCTAAATTTTTCTTAAAAAAAAACCTGATAAATACATACAAAGTAATTTATTAAAGGTTTTTCTTGCCAGCTGGCAAACTTTGAAACCAGAGAGAAGGCTGGATCATTCTGTCATTATTGATTCTGATGTGGAAAGATCAACAGAACTTCAAATGAGACGGATCAACTCTTGTTCATGAACCTGCAACCAAGAAAAGATATCGGCTGTCTGACTCGAGTTAATGTATCAGCTGAAAGTGTCCCGTGGCTCAGACAAAGGTTTTTAATTTTGGCTCCTTCTGGTAACTGAGTTCAACATCCCTGAAATACACGATGCCCTTCATACATACTGATCCCTGTTTTATAGTGTTTTATAAGGCAAATGCAATAACTGTTGTTCAAAACATTAATGCTGGTATGATAGAACGCTATGGGATTGTGCTCATATTTATTTGCTAGAAGTCTTATTTACAAACACTATCTTAGCAGCTTAATCTGGATGGTCGTTCAGTGTAGATGATCTAAACTTCATTTTGTATATTGCTTCATGTGTTATCTGTTGTTCTGTCTGTACAGCACTTTGGTTGGCCTTGTAGCTGTTTTAAGTGCTCTGTAAATAAAATGGTATGGTATATGGTATAATGATGATGGAGCACTGGCCTGGTAATTCATCTGAGGCTGTTTCTTACCAGCAGTAGTCACTGAGTTTATGCGTTTGTATATGAATATTTTGCTTCACTCTCACTGGTTGCACTGGATTCAGGGATGTGATCCTGTCTTCATGTGTGAGAACTTTAGGATTTCTTTACATTGTGTCTGTATCCACGTTACTGTGAAAACCACAGCAAGAAGCTTTGACCAGTTTAAGTCGTTTAATTTGGGTTATTTTTACTTGGAGAAACCTAAAAATAAAGCAGTATTTTTTTTTTCTTGAAATACAATTTGTGTGTACTTTTTTGTTGAATCACATATATTTTAACACAATATTTGTTTCCATGCTAATAGTTGTGTATTTTAAGATGTTTTTAACAGATGAATTAGTTTGTCCAGAAATATTTTAAGCAACATTATTTAGTTTAAATGAATAACGTTAAATATATCTTCTTGTTTATTTTCTGGAGTCGTCCCTCCCTCCCTGACCTGGAAGTGCTCATGAGATTAGCTTGACAGGTGTTCTTTGTGTGTGGCAGGAAGATCTGTGTGCACTGCAAGTGTCGTCGTGAAGAGCATGCAGTGACAGCCATGCCTGTAGAAATGGAGAAGACGGTCACCAAGCTGATGTACGACTTCCAGAGGAACTCGACGTCGGATGATGACTCGGGCTGCGCCCTGGAAGAGTACGTCTGGATACCACCAGGACTAAAACCTGAACAGGTATCTGCAACTTTTCCTCTTAAGCTGATATGAACTAGTTTTAACCCTGACAGACTGGAAGCAGTGTCCAATTTCTGCACAGTTCACTTTTCCTAACAATTTATTTTCAATATTCATTCTTAAGTTCGCTCTTTTTGCCCATCTATTCATTTTTGCAGCAAAGTCTTTTCATGTTTTTGGCGAACGGTTGCATTATTAGGACTAAATGTTTGATTTAAGTATTTGCATCCACGCATTTGTCATTCTACAATAAATGACCGTTGTATCAAGTTTCTTCGCAGGATTTTAACCCCAATAACTGATATCACTTAGGTAATTTTAAATGTAAGAAAGAATAAGTCAATGAAAAAAATTAGTGTTGTAAAACATAGTTTCATTCTCATTACCGGTCGAAACATTTCACTTGTAAATTGCTGCACATTTTGCAGCACGTTTTAATGTAACTAATAAAAATTCCTAGTTGTTTCGTTGTAATTGTTCACTTAGACCCCACGTAAGAGCTCGCCTGTTGTGCTGACTGCACCCTCCTCAAGCTAATGGATAACAAGGATTACGTGGCTTCAGCAGTCAAATTAATCTCCACTTCTTTCCGCCTGCAAACAGGTTTACAGTAGGCTTCATGACCCCCACAAACACTGGGTCAATCCTGCCTAACGCATTTAACAGCCTCATGCACGCTGAAGTAAATCCTCACGAACAATACTCCACTGAGCTGTAGGTGTTCACATGTGGGAGGGTTCCCGGTTTAATTTGACAAAAGAGGAGTTTATGGGAGCTGGTCTTATTTTGTTGTCGAGCTGAGTCAATACATTGTTGGCAAAGCTCCCTGTTTCCCCCCAGAGGTCTGAGAGCGGCGTTTTTGTTATTCCTCTCCAGGGCATCACTTACTGTAGAACCTGAAGCTCAATGAAGTTTTTGTTTAGTGACAAAAGGATCTCCCAAATAATGGGACAGCAATCAGGAATGGGCAGGGTCATACCTTTTAAAGTGATAGTCTAGCTCTTTTAAAGTGGGATTTTGTGGAAATATGAACAATTATAATCTTATCTGCTGTAGATAATGCTTTAAAGATTATTATGTTTCTTTCAAAGTGCATCAGACTGCATATAAAACGCTACGATCACTATTTGTGCTCACATTAATCCATAAAACTCTACATCAGATACCGTATTTTCCGCCGTACCTGTCGCACTGCCCTATAAGTCGCATCAGTCCAAATATGTCTAATAACGTGGAAAAATCCATAAATACTTCATTTCGCTGTATACGTTGCATCTATTACGTGTCACCGCTGACAACCTGGAAATGTGGGCTGGTGTTGTGCCAAAAATCAATTGGCTACCAAATGGTGGCCGCGGGGGTGTGACGGGAGGACTTTAACAAGAATTTAACAAGATTAACACTTAAAAACAATTATTTGTTTGCTCGAAATTATAGCAAAGTTGTGTCTCATTTTAACTTTTCCTTAATAAATGCATTTGACGGTCAATCCAGCTGCATTTCAAAAGCCGATACGTGGAAGTAGGCACGTGCACTAGAGGACTCGCTGTGCATTTCTTCAAAATTTAACAAGATAACCACCTAAAAACAATTATTTGTTTGCTTGACAGTATACTAAAGGTGTGTCTCAGTTGAACTTTTACTTAAATTTCTCAATATTTGTCAAATTAGCTGCATTTCACCGGGGCAGCGCAGAGAAATGAAGCTGATCTGACGGTTGCTCCAGACGGATGACGGTGTCAGTCTATGACAAGCCGATTGTGTCCTTAACAGCCACGTTTACCTATTACATGATACAACGGCATGCCATACTGCTCGAGTGCCATCTAGTGGCTGAAAATGGTAGTGTTCAATATTTTCAGTCTGAATGAATGAAAACAGTCATATCTCAGCCAAACATTGGTTTATAAATATGTCACTTCTGCGTATAAGTCGCAGGGCATGTGAATTATGTAAAAAACTGTGACTTATGAGGTGAAAAATACGGTACATTAAACTTGTTCCAAAACCTGTCTACAACAGGTAAGATACTAATTGTTCCTCAAATTCCAGTTAAAAAGATCTTAACTAACACTATTAAAAGATGCATGTGGATTTTGTATTTCTTTTGTTATTTTCACTGTTCCCATGAACAGAAAAAGCTCAAATATATATTAAGTGGGTAGAATTTCAAATTCATTTAACTGAGTGTATAAAAACCAACAGTAGTCAGATGGGTCCAGAGCAGGAGCAGAGTCCTTTTGTCCCAACTTGACGTTTTAAGGCTGTGAAGCTTTAGAAACTTGTTGTGCAGCTTTGTGCATAGAAGCAGATTTAAACAAAAAGCTGAAGCTTAGGATCTTAACGGTGGGTTTTAGATTTCATCATCACACTGAGAGCCAGAGCTCTTTATTAGTCTGCTATTCAGCCAGCAGTGGCTTGTAATGAGAGATTATTATGCTGCTGTATAGCATTTAGAGATATGTGAGAGATTATGGAGGACTTCTATCTGCAAACTACATTTATAGGTATCTTTCTTAAAGCAAAGTTTTGCATTGAACAGTTTTTCAAGCGGTTGTGTGAGGACAGTTTTCTACTCCTCTTTCTTTGTTCTTTAAATAATAATCTTGGATGGTGCAAAATTACAGTTCATCAAGGCCAATACTCGGCAGTGGCCTTTTTCATGGGCTTCAGTTTAATGTGCAGACTGTGCTCAGCAGTTTGATAATCTGAGTTTAATTTTCAGTCAAACATGAGGTATGCCTTTTCCAGTCTTACATGTGGGATATTTATGTGAACAGAAAATCAGTTTAAAGAATGTAAACTAGATGTCGGGCCTGGACCCGTGGCTCTGAAATGGATCAGTCAAATTTCAAACAGCACAAAGACATCTGAAAAACAACCAAAGGGAGTTTGACCTGTTCCTAAACAGACCTGAACACAACTAGAACAATTCCAGTGAAAGGTGGGGGACAGTAAATCTGTCAGATGCTGACATGATTACAGCCGTCTGACTCGGGCGACTTGACTTGACAAATTACAGCTTCTCTCTTTTCATGTCACTCTTAAGCTGTTTGTTATTTGAACCGCTCCTGGGTGCATTTCCAAAACATTTCTTACAGACGTTCATGTTCCCTGTTGGATGAACTGTTGACATCCTCTCTGTTAGGTCTGATGTTGCCCTCGAGTCGAATATTTTTGTTTTATAGAGAGTTTATTACACCAGACCTATCTGTTGTTTGGTGACTTATGGCTCATTTGTGGCAGCATGTTTGTGTCAGTAAGTAAAGGTAGACTGATGGATCAGTCAGCTGCTTAATAAGACTCGTTATTGATATGTTTTAAGTGGTATTTGCCATGTTTGAGCATGATGGTTAACTGGCAAACAAATAGCATAGTGGCTGAGTGGTTAGAGCAGTCGTCCTCTAATGCAAGAGTTGGGGGTTTGAATCCACCAGCAGTCGCATGCCGAAGCGTCACTGGGCAAGGCACTGAACCCCTCATAGCCTCTGATGTGTGTCCCATCAGTGTATGAATGTGACAAAGCACCGATTAGTCTCTTTAGAATTATTTGTTCAATTATCTTTGTATAGATCTAGTAGAGTGCTGTATGAATGGGTAAATGCAGACACATTGAATGTAGTGTAAAGAGCTTTGAGTATCTTGAAATAAGATAGAAAGGCGCTATATAAGTACAGTCCATTTACCTTCTGAGACTGGGCCTTTTTTATGGTGGGCTGCTTTTTTTGAGCACTACACTGGTAGATCCCAAAGAAAGTTAACCAGAATATAACGCTAACTTTTGAATGAACAATGTCTTATCTACCAGAGAAAATAGTTGGGCTTTATTTTATTTTATAAATTTTTGTCTGTAATAAAACAAAATAAATAAACTGTGATGCTTATTAGCTAAAAACTGACAAACAAATCTGCTTTTTGGCCTTTGGGTGACTTGATTTCTAGAAAGTGCCATCGGCTGTTAAAAATATCCGTATCAGCCAGCTTCCACCTTCAAGCCAATGCAAAGTGAAATATTATGGGAAATTCATTCAAATATATTTCTGTTTGTTTGCTTGTACTTGTTTTCTAGCACATGTGCATTACTATTATACAGATCCAGTGCTGATGGATTAAAAGTTGTTTTTACAGTTTACAGAGGACGTCTACACTGACGTTTAATGCAAGTGGAAAGAAATGCATCCATCCATCATTTATCTTTTTACCCACTTCTTTCTTTTCGGGTCACAGGGTTCACTGGTGCCCATATCCAGGTATCACTGTGTGAGAGGTGGGGGACACCCTGGACAGGTTTCCAGTCCATCACAGGGACACACAGAGACAAACGAGACAAACAACCATTCACTCTCTCACTCACACCTAGAGACAATTTAGTTACCAGTCAGTCTAACATGCATGTTTTTGATCTGTGGGAGGAAACAGGAGTACCTGGAGAAAACACGCACAAGAACATGCAAACTCCACCCACAAAGGCCCTGGGCCTGGATTTGGTATGGTATGGTATGGTATATAGTTTATTCATTTTAAAAAAGTACAAAACAATTCCATAACAATATAAAAAAAGATACAAAAGATTTAAAATGAAAGGCAGCAGAAAGAAGAAAAAATCTTATTATATCTGCCCCTTTTTTCAAACAATTATTTCAGACATAATAATCTTCAAATTTGAACCGGATTTGAATTTGGATTTGAACCGGCCACCATGCTACCTGAAAGAAATGCAAAGAAAACAAAACTTTTACAAGAAAGAGTTGTGTAAAATATGTTCCACTATGATCCCCAAAATATCAAATTGGACTTCAAATGAAGAATTTAATTTTGGTGTGGTAGTAGCTGAGAGTCATTAACAACACACACCCTTGCTCAGCTTCACTATGTCGCGTGACATTGTGCATCACTTTATGTTCGAGGTTTGACTAACCTAACGTAAGATGATCCCAGTCTAAAACTCAGGCATGAAAGGCAACAAGCAATATGCATACCTTTAAAGAATCCTAGACCTT